TGACATGGCTATCCTCCCTTTTCGCTTAATTAGTTAATTAAAAAACTTAATTAAAACAATAAAACAAAGAATTTTTAGATTTAATGTTTTTAATGACACTTAAAATTCATGACATTTTTCGACGCATTACCACCCCCCCCCCCCCCAATAATCCCCCCCTCTTCTACTCCCCCCCCCCCCCATAACCTACCCCTCCCATATAAAAAAACCACATAAATTTTAAATCTACCAGGCCTGTGGTGTAATTAAACAAGATGGCTACCGTTTCACACCAGATTAATTAGAACATTTAATTAGTAATTAAACATCAAATTAAAAAAATATTGTGTTTATTTTTTTAATTATTCAAAAAATAAATGAGTTCACATGGGTTGAGACACACTAATTTGTGGTGTAATCAAACAATCTTAATTAGTTGACTTAATCAAGCACTCACAATCCATGACGATCGATGAATTGAAATAAATATCGAGCATTGTTTGCAGACGATAGGTCCATATTGACTGGTGCCACAAACTGGCGCCAAATCTCCAGACTCGTCTGCTGGTCACGTGATCTTGTTGTCCGGGCGCGCGCTCGCTGTCCTGTCCTGTCTTTAAGCAATGTCCTTAAGGACAAGATTAGTAGCAAAGTAAGGACAAGATTAGTAGCACATTAGCGCCTAATGCGGTCTGTTGGTACAGGATAGGGTCCTGGTGTTTGGAGGTCACTCACAGACTTGTGATTATATAATCATTTATCTTAATCATTAATCTTAGCTTTAGTGAGGTTCATCTCTTTGTTTATTTGTACATTAGTACGTTCTATTTAATCTTCTCTCTCTCTGTGTGTGTGTGTGTGTCGCTGTGTCTGTGTATCAGCCTGTTTCTGTATGTGTGTGTGTGTGTCGCTGTGTCTGTGTATCAGCCTGTTTCTGTTTGTGTGTGTGTGTCGCTGTGTCGCTGTGTCTGTGTATCAGCCTGTTTCTGTATGTGTGTATCAGCCTGTTTCTGTATGTGTGTATCAGCCTGTTTCTGTATGTGTGTATCAGCCTGTTTCTGTATGTGTGTATCAGCCTGTTTCTGTATGTGTGTATCAGCCTGTTTCTGTATGTGTGTATCAGCCTGTTTCTGTATGTGTGTATCAGCCTGTTTCTGTATGTGTGTATCAGCCTGTTTCTGTATGTGTGTATCAGCCTGTTTCTGTATGTGTGTATCAGCCTGTTTCTGTATGTGTGTATCAGCCTGTTTCTGTATGTGTGTATCAGCCTGTTTCTGTATGTGTGTATCAGCCTGTTTCTGTATGTGTGTATCAGCCTGTTTCTGTATGTGTGTATCAGCCTGTTTCTGTATGTGTGTATCAGCCTGTTTCTGTATGTGTGTATCAGCCTGTTTCTGTATGTGTGTATCAGCCTGTTTCTGTATGTGTGTATCAGCCTGTTTCTGTATGTGTGTATCAGCCTGTTTCTGTATGTGTGTATCAGCCTGTTTCTGTATGTGTGTATCAGCCTGTTTCTGTATGTGTGTATCAGCCTGTTTCTGTATGTGTGTATCAGCCTGTTTCTGTATGTGTGTATCAGCCTGTTTCTGTATGTGTGTATCAGCCTGTTTCTGTATGTGTGTATCAGCCTGTTTCTGTATGTGTGTATCAGCCTGTTTCTGTATGTGTGTATCAGCCTGTTTCTGTATGTGTGTATCAGCCTGTTTCTGTATGTGTGTATCAGCCTGTTTCTGTATGTGTGTATCAGCCTGTTTCTGTATGTGTGTATCAGCCTGTTTCTGTATGTGTGTATCAGCCTGTTTCTGTATGTGTGTATCAGCCTGTTTCTGTATGTGTGTATCAGCCTGTTTCTGTATGTGTGTATCAGCCTGTTTCTGTATGTGTGTATCAGCCTGTTTCTGTATGTGTGTATCAGCCTGTTTCTGTATGTGTGTATCAGCCTGTTTCTGTATGTGTGTATCAGCCTGTTTCTGTATGTGTGTATCAGCCTGTTTCTGTATGTGTGTATCAGCCTGTTTCTGTATGTGTGTATCAGCCTGTTTCTGTATGTGTGTATCAGCCTGTTTCTGTATGTGTGTATCAGCCTGTTTCTGTATGTGTGTATCAGCCTGTTTCTGTATGTGTGTATCAGCCTGTTTCTGTATGTGTGTATCAGCCTGTTTCTGTATGTGTGTATCAGCCTGTTTCTGTATGTGTGTATCAGCCTGTTTCTGTATGTGTGTATCAGCCTGTTTCTGTATGTGTGTATCAGCCTGTTTCTGTATGTGTGTATCAGCCTGTTTCTGTATGTGTGTATCAGCCTGTTTCTGTATGTGTGTATCAGCCTGTTTCTGTATGTGTGTATCAGCCTGTTTCTGTATGTGTGTATCAGCCTGTTTCTGTATGTGTGTATCAGCCTGTTTCTGTATGTGTGTATCAGCCTGTTTCTGTATGTGTGTATCAGCCTGTTTCTGTATGTGTGTATCAGCCTGTTTCTGTATGTGTGTATCAGCCTGTTTCTGTATGTGTGTATCAGCCTGTTTCTGTATGTGTGTATCAGCCTGTTTCTGTATGTGTGTATCAGCCTGTTTCTGTATGTGTGTATCAGCCTGTTTCTGTATGTGTGTATCAGCCTGTTTCTGTATGTGTGTATCAGCCTGTTTCTGTATGTGTGTATCAGCCTGTTTCTGTATGTGTGTATCAGCCTGTTTCTGTATGTGTGTATCAGCCTGTTTCTGTATGTGTGTATCAGCCTGTTTCTGTATGTGTGTATCAGCCTGTTTCTGTATGTGTGTATCAGCCTGTTTCTGTATGTGTGTATCAGCCTGTTTCTGTATGTGTGTATCAGCCTGTTTCTGTATGTGTGTATCAGCCTGTTTCTGTATGTGTGTATCAGCCTGTTTCTGTATGTGTGTATCAGCCTGTTTCTGTATGTGTGTATCAGCCTGTTTCTGTATGTGTGTATCAGCCTGTTTCTGTATGTGTGTATCAGCCTGTTTCTGTATGTGTGTATCAGCCTGTTTCTGTATGTGTGTATCAGCCTGTTTCTGTATGTGTGTATCAGCCTGTTTCTGTATGTGTGTATCAGCCTGTTTCTGTATGTGTGTATCAGCCTGTTTCTGTATGTGTGTATCAGCCTGTTTCTGTATGTGTGTATCAGCCTGTTTCTGTATGTGTGTATCAGCCTGTTTCTGTATGTGTGTATCAGCCTGTTTCTGTATGTGTGTATCAGCCTGTTTCTGTATGTGTGTATCAGCCTGTTTCTGTATGTGTGTATCAGCCTGTTTCTGTATGTGTGTATCAGCCTGTTTCTGTATGTGTGTATCAGCCTGTTTCTGTATGTGTGTATCAGCCTGTTTCTGTATGTGTGTATCAGCCTGTTTCTGTATGTGTGTATCAGCCTGTTTCTGTATGTGTGTATCAGCCTGTTTCTGTATGTGTGTATCAGCCTGTTTCTGTATGTGTGTATCAGCCTGTTTCTGTATGTGTGTATCAGCCTGTTTCTGTATGTGTGTATCAGCCTGTTTCTGTATGTGTGTATCAGCCTGTTTCTGTATGTGTGTATCAGCCTGTTTCTGTATGTGTGTATCAGCCTGTTTCTGTATGTGTGTATCAGCCTGTTTCTGTATGTGTGTATCAGCCTGTTTCTGTATGTGTGTATCAGCCTGTTTCTGTATGTGTGTACTGATATTCAAATGGCCCTGTTGAGTTGACTCCGGGTATTATGGCCCCTTGTAAGATGGCCCAGGCCAGAGTCTGACGTCATACAGACGTCCACTGCCATCAATGACGCTGCCTCCACTATGTCAGCTGAGGCTACTAAGATGTCACCGTTACGCAAACAGTTGACATGTGTCAGGTCAGATACCAGATGATGTCAGTAGATGTCAGTACATGTCAGTACATGTCACCAAAAATGTAGTTAGTAGCACACCCAGAGTAGATCTTGGCCTTTTGAGGTGACATTCAGATGAACTGCATGTGACCTTGAGATGACCTTCAGATGACCTGCACATGGCCTTGAGGTGACCTTCAACTGACGGCAGCTGATCACACCGATGTTGGGTTCAGTGGGGTTTTCGGGTTTTAGTGGGGTTCAGTGGTTCATTTCGCCATTTTTAAAAATGTTCTAATCCTTTTAATCTACTGCGGTTATTGTTGTGTGTATGTGTCTACGTGTGTGTGTCTACGTGTGTTGCGCAGAACTTGGCGCAGCATGACGACACAAACTAACCCCACACCTCGCCACACACCTCACCCCACACCTTGCACCACACCTTACCCCACACAAATGCAATATAGGTTACATTTCTCATTGTAACATTTCTCATTCATCTATTATATTCTCTTTTTGATCTCATTATGTATGATAGCTATGTACCATTGTTTCTTTATTCCACATTTTCAGTGCTATGTGTTACTGCTATGTGTTATTGAATTGCTTTATTTGTTTAAACGGCGAATGTGAAAAAAGGCCTTTGTGCCTACAATTGTAACCGTTGTTTGAATAAATTTGAATAAATTTGAATAAATTTGAATAAACATTTTCTTTACGACGCCTTTGCTTAAAGGCGAATTGTGTTAATTAGTCACATAAGTCATGATTTTTTTGTCCTTTAAGTTTATGACTTTATAAGTCAGATACGTCATGACTTTTAATATTGACTTAATAAGTCATAACTTGACAATTTTGAAGGTCAGTTTCAGCACACTAAAAGGTGTAGTTGTGTAGGTGTTTGTGGCAGTATCGATACTCTAGACACTGTTCTATGATGCGTAGTGGCAGTATCGATACTCTAGAAACTGTTCTCTGAGATGTCTTGGCAGTATCGATACTCTAGACACTGTTCTATGATACGTTGTGTCAGTATCGATACTCTAGACACTGTTCTATGATACGTAGTGACAGTATCGATACTCTAGAAACTGTTCTCTGATACGTTGTGGCAGTATCGATACTCTAGAAACTGTTCTCTGAGATGTCTTTTCAGTATCGATACTCTAGAAACTGTTCTCTGATACGTTGTGGCAGTATCGATACT